TGGTTGTTAAGGTTTCACACGTTCACATTTGACCTTCATACCAACCCTGTGAAGTGGTCAGGTTTGGTAACGTTATACCTGTCACAACGAGGAAGTAGACCCAAACAGCTTGAGCCCTGTCCAGGATTGCAGAACCAGCCTCCGGCAGAGCCAGATCTCGAATCCGAGAGCTCTTGGCTGCCGCCTCGGCGCTGCCTTTGTGCTCCCCGTGCTTCCTGGTTAGTGATAGCTAAGCCTTTTTGAGAACAGCATTGTTATAAAAATGCTGCTCTGTTGAAACCTGAGAGACTTAAAACACAATATTGCAAGAGCCTCCCGGTCCTGGTGGCATGTCACTTCAGCCAGCTCTCTTTAGCTTATTAAAACAAACTGCCATGCTTAGAAGACATTTCTAACATATTTTATTTTGGTATCAGTGCATTTCCTCACGATTACACAATGTCATTCCAAGAGGAGTGAGGAATCAGACCGAGGCCAGCATTGCTGCCTTTTCTGGTCTGAAGCACTCGGAAGAGGCAGTTAAATGTGAATCACAAAATGCTTCTTTGTAGAAACAAAAAGAAAAACATTGCCCTGCAAAAAAATGTTTGAGATCACGTGCAGTGGTCCCCAGCCTTTTTGGGACCAGTTACGTGGAAGACAGTTTTTCTGTGGACCAGTGTTGCAGTGGGGTGCAGGGGGGTTGGGGACCGCAGATGTATAAGGCAAATGAAATCATCCCCCGCCTATGCTAATATGTTTGTCTCTTGCATGTATGTTGAGGGGTTTGGAAAAACCAGTATAACTGTTCCGAAGCCAGGCTCAGCGACCTCAGAGCTTTGGTGTGAGCTTGGACAGGCAGCTTAATTTCTCTAGGAGTAAAACTGAGATAATACCTACCACAAAGGTCGATGTGAGAATTGAATAGAGACACAGAACTCCCTCAGACTTTATTTCATTTTTAAGTTTCTGCCGTAAGGATGTATCTTACAGTTGGTGAGTACATTTAGTTTTATAGCTTCCCGCCCCTCCAAGCTAACGATGGAGTGTCTTACAATTGATGGTATCAAATTGAGGAAATAATAGTATGTGAAGAGTTTAATGCAGTATGAAATACAGCATGCATTCAGTAAGTAGCTGCTATCATTTTTTAAAAAATTAAATAGAATTATGGTTCCTGTGTTAAGGCCATCCCCCAGGGGGGGAGTGAGGTCTCTGCTGGGAGGTAGATGTTCTTGCAGGAAACCAGATGTATGAGGTGGCCACGTGTGGACAGGAGAGGGGAGCGCATCCTCTCTAGGAACCTAGATACTGAAGGTGGGATACAGCAGTGAGACCTGTTCAACTCAGTGTCTATACCATTGAGGGAGAGCTAGATGGGGAAGGAACGAAAAGCAGATCTTACTGATTCATGCAGCTGTCATAGATGTTTGTTGTTGTTGTTGCCTCTTGTTCTTTAAGGAAGTCTTACCTTCAGTGTCTTCAGCCTAATCTCACCTGTGCTGCAGAGAGGCCGGGACCGATTGTTTATTCTTTGTCCCTGTTGTTAAAGGGAGAGCCCGGGTCCTTTCAGTAGGAGTAGCAGTACTTAGCTGAGACCCTGCGGGAAAAGTGAATTTTAAGAAAGAGGTTAGAAGCCAGGCGCCCTGGCCTGTGTCTATGGTCCCAGCTACTAGGGTGGCTGAGGTGGGAGGACCACTTGAGCCTGGGCGCTGGAGGCCAGCCTGGGCAACAAAGCAGGACCGGGTCTTTGGGAAGATTAGGGGATTAGGACATAATGTTTTGTTCCACTGCACCTCCCCCTTTGGACAGTTTCCTTCCAGTGGAAGACTTGGAGATGCCAAGTTACACTTTATTACGCAAGGCAGCCTGGCCTTACAGATCTTCCCCTGCAAACCCATGCAAAGTTCTACCCTCTAGTTTGGGTGTCTCTAACGTGGGGGTGGGGAGAAGAGTGGAGATACGCATCTCAGGTAGATGGAACATCAAGTGGGCTCATACTATGCAGACTGTTCTGTAGCCGCCTCTCTTTTAAATGTAGATTTAAAATGTGTCTTGGTATACACAGAAGTGTTTGGGGGTGAAGGGACATCAACTCCAGCTCTCTTTCAGACAGTTCAAAGTGTTTTTAGGTGGGAGGGAAAAATACAAAGCCAAGGTGGTAAAATGCTAACAGTTGGGAAGTCTGAGTGAAGGCTTTTGTGGGATCCTTTATCTTTTTGCAGTTTTTCTCTAAGTATGAAAATATTTTTAAAGAAAAGGTATGTATCTTGAGCGTCTTTCCCTGCAAGCGTGTATTTTATATTATTAAATCTGCATAACTTACTGTTGCATGTTCACGCTGTGAAGGTGTTTAGACTCCTATTGTTGGTCATTCGATAATTTCCGATTATTTGCCAGTATGAACATGCTACCGTAAATACGATACATCCTCATGTAGTTGGAATGAAATCCTCCCTCTTTCCTTTGAAACACCCCCACTCCCATAATGGACTTGATAGGAAAATTCACAGTAGAGTAACGCTTAAAGCGAAGGCCTTATTTAGAATTTTAAATGGGTTGGATGGTGACCGTTAGTATCGGGGTTAGGTAAATATTGATAATCTACAATAAGATCTAGACAAAACTCTTCAGTCCTGGTTCATCCCATGTAATGAAACTTTATCAGAAAAATAAATTTTTTGGTGACCTGAAACATCTCGGCTAAATGTTGACTGCTTGAGTAATCATGAAGATCAGAAGGAAGTCTTTCGGTCTCTGAAGGCATGGCTTTCTAACCTCGTTCTGTCGGACACAGTGGGCAAACTTCTTTGCCCTCAATTCAGTGTGCTTTGCTATTTTTATTGATTGTCAGATGTTTTGATTAGATTCCCCTTCATAGCAGCAGATAGAAGGAGGGGATATCTGTCCAGAGTCAGTATCATCCTACGCTTTGTTCTGTTGACTCACCTTTGGCTTCTGATTGTTAGTTTTTTCTAATGCTGCATGTAAACAGTTGAAACTATAGCGTATAATCACATTTTACCCTCAGGTGAAAACAGCATTTATTTCTGCATCTGACATTTGTGCTAAAATACAGCACTAGCATTTGGTCCAGTTTTTAAGCGCCCTTTAATGGTTTTGAAAGACGAAAGGCAGGCCTAGTTGCATGACGATGTCCACGGATGGGTCCGATGGGTCCAGCGGACGGAAGGGATACCCTCGCTTCTCCTTGGCTCTACCTCCTAACCTCCTGCCCTACCTCAGCCGTGACAAACTGCAAACATTTCAATAACACCATTTCCAGGAAATATACATGTTTCAAAAACAGACCTGGGCAGGTCAAATTGCACTTGGATTTTGACATGTCCGTTAGATTCAGTTACAAGGCAGCATGTATGTCCTGTTCTTTCCTTTTCCTCCTTCCTTAGAGTGAACAGGAATGGGGGAAATGGTACATTAATAAACCCTAGGCTGTGAATTAGCAGCCAGCGCTAGATTACATTACATTGTTAATTAGAACCGCGAACAGGGGAAAGACTCATTTGCCATTTGTTCTCTAGCCGTGAGAACGGGCGTCGTGTTCAATGCACGGCGGTGGCGGTGACGGGGAGAGCCGTCCTATGGGACTTGCCGCAGCCAGGCGCTCGACACGCAAGCCACACAGCGCGTTGCTCTTCCGCTGAAAATCGTGGCATTGTGGATATGTTTCATGTCTCTAGTACGGAGAAAAAGTATTGTTTTAGGTTTAACTTCTTTATTTTTTTTTTTTTGCACTTAAAAATATGTGGGCTGTAAAATGACACCTCCTGGGTACTTGCTGCGGTGGTGATACCAGCAGCAGGAGTGGTCGCCGTCATTTGTTTAGCTGGGGATAAGGAAGAGTTAGAATCGTGGATCTTTTCTCCAAGACACTTGTCAATGTCCTTTTCCCTCAGGGCCTTTCTCTGGGGAAACTTTGTGCATACATGTGTGTTTGTATATGGTGAAAATGCTGACTTGGAGTAGAGTTAGACTTTTTTTTTTTTTTTTTTAGGGGACAGAGTCTCACTGTCACCATGGCTAGAGTGCACTGGCATCACCATAGCTCACTGCAGCCTCAAACTCCCAGGGTCAAGCGATCTTCTGGCCTCAGCTCCTGAGTAGCTGGGACTACAGGTGTGCACCACTGCACCTGGCTAATTTTTCTATTTTTTGTTGAGACAGGGTCTCGCTCTTGCTCAGGCTGGTCTCGAACTCCTGAGCTCAAGCGATCCTCCCGCCTCGGCCTCCCAGAGTGCTAGGATTACAGGCGTGAGCCACTGCGCCCCGCCTAAGTTAGAGACATTTTTAACTTTAAAATGAATTTGGGCAGGATTAGAATATTAAAACCTAAGAGCTATCCCTCCTTTTTTACCCCTCCTAGAAACACGGTCTTGCTCTGTCACCTGGGCTGGAGTGCAGTGGTGTCAGCCTAGCTCACTGCAGCCTCAAACTCCTGGGCGCAAGCGATCCTCCTGCCTCAGCCTCCCGAGTAGCTGGGACTACAGGCGCACACCATCACACCCGGCTAATTTTTTCTGTTTCTTGTAGAGATAGGTTCTCGCCATGTCTTGCAGCCTAAGAGCTATCCTTGATTAAATTTACGCCTCCTTTCCGTGGACCCACTAAAGTGTTGAGATGGTCACCATCTTCCAGGTCATTTAACATGGCTCATTGGTTAGCTATTGCTATGAGGTAGCTGGCCGTGGCACCTATTTTAATCTCTTTTGCCTCCATTTTTGCTAAATCTATTATTTTAGATTTACTAAGATACTAATATTCTTTAATGTACGAATTTTCCATCGGAAACTTTTCACCCGGGAGTCACAACCAGTATGTCATTGTCTCCAGTGTTTGTTCCCCCCGTGTTTATCCCTAGGATTAAGTCAGGTTAACCTCTTTGGTTTCATTACATCCAAATGTCAAGTTCCTGATACCTGGCGAGTGAAAGGCTGGCCCCGAGGTGGTACCCTCACTCTCTGCTGTTCACTAATCTTTTCTTCCTTGCTTTTCGCTTCCAGCAGACCTACTCCAACGAAGTCCATTGTGTGGAAGAGATTCTGAAGGTGAGTTCATTGTTTCTGTTTCTCACCTGAAGGAATACTTAAGCACGCAGACATCCATCCATTGACTTTCACTTTCAAGAACAGTTGCCATTCCCAAACCTCTTTAAACGGTTTTTCCCCCTCGTACCCCCAACAGCAAAATAAACCAGCATAATAACGAAGGCGGGGGGGGGGGGGGGGGGGGGGGGGGGGGGGGCGGGGAGTCTTAGGACATAATCGAATTGTCTAACAGATTTTATTAATTAAATTGAAGTCTGCAGACTGCAAGGCATTTGAACCAGAGTTTTATGGCACCTGCAGTTTTTCTTGTTGTCCATAAAGACCCAGGAGAATTGCTCACTTCCCAGGGAGCAAAGCCTGCATCGATGCGGCACCACTGGTTACATAGCGCTTGATTCATACCTCCTGGTGTTTCGAAGGTGATGCCCACCGCGTATGGCCTCTCTTTCCATGAGACCATGAAGCTTTAGAGGAATTAAAAAAAAATTAGTGGGAGTAAATGGGCCTCTTTGGACCTAATCCTAGAGGGTTATTTTTTGCTTTTGCTTATTGAGACTGTGCCGTGAACATTTGTGGTTCTTCTACAAATATATCATAGGCTGGGTTGCCCATTTGTTCAGTTTTTGTTGTGTAAGGATGACAAATTCCTTCTAGAATTCAGTTCCAGGAAAAAACTATAAATTCTCCTCATGAACCGGCATGCTTGCTGTCAGAGAAGAATTAGATAAATTATCATGTTTCCCATTTTGGCTGTAATTTCTAGGAAATCTAGAGCTTAATTTTAATGCTCAGATACAGTAATACCTGAGGGTTTTATGTATTTCTTATACTTCCTATTTGGCTTTTAATTTATTTGCTTTAGGTCAATTTTTAATGATATTCTTGCTGTCATTTATTATAAGATTTCTGATTTTATTTTTTTAATTAGGAGAGATATATACGACACGTGTGCCTAGTAATTTGAACCCCTACTGCTCATGTTTTCCCTCGAAATATGCATCTACCCAATTTTTTCTTTAAACAAGGTTTCATTGTAAAATATTAAGTGATGGTTGTGCCAGAACCAGTAATTCAGTGTATTGATTACCTCCTCACTTGTGCAATTTTTGACAAAAGTAGTATCTAGGCTGGGAGCTGCGGCTCATACCTGTAATCCTAGCATTTTGGAGGCTGAGGTGGGAGGATTGTATGAGGCCAGCAGTTCAAGACTAACCTGAGCAACATAGTGAGACCCCATCTCTACAAAAATAGAAAAAATGAGTTAGGTGTGTCCCGCCTACTCAGGAGGCTGAGGCAGTAGGATTGCTTGAGCTCCCAGGAGTTTGAGGTTTTAGTGAGCTGTGATCATGCCACTGAGCTCTAGCCAAGCAAAGGAGTTGAGACCCTGTCTCAAGAAAAAGAAAAAAAAAAAAAAACTGTCTAACCAGATGTTCGGAAAACAGATTCATCATTTTTGTTTTACAATCCTTTGTCCTGTCTTTTGTAGTTTAGGGCTTTCTTAGAAAGAAATATCTCTAAAAAAACCATACTTTTAAGTGCTAAGAGTGAGAAATTTTTGTCAACTAGCAAGTAAGGTGAATAATTAATAGTAAGTAAGTTACCTCGATCAAGTTTTCCTATCCTTTTCCTTGTCTATTTCTGAAGTTCTTTGGTATGGTGAGCCATAAAAGTAAGAAATGACTTAATTATAAAATGTGGTCTTAGGATTTTCTCTGAGATTGTAATTTATTCTGTAGTTATTTCAAACGTAAATGCAACATTGTAGATTTGTCTTATGAATATGTCAAATGCTTCTCTTAGATTTTGATACAAAGACATGTCACATCCTTTATTTAGGAATGATGATATTTTAACATTAGGCAAGCAGTTTTAATTTAATGAACCCCCTCCATCCTCCCCTCTCACCCAATATCACTTTAATGAGTTCTTGCTTTACCTAGAAATGCTTTTGCATAAGTGGTTAATGCAAACAAAGGATGGATATTTTCATTTGGAAATCACAAACCGGGAAAGCGAATGGAAGTATGTTTAAGAGTGAAGAGGCCACAGGCTTTTTCACAGTGGAAACTGAGTCTGTTCCCTTCTCTGGTATGTTCTTCCTGGGCTTTGGTTTCCTCGTTGGTAAAATGAAGGCCCTGGGCTAGTGGATCATGTCCAGGGTCCCTTCCAGCTCTCGCTCTCTGAGGCTGAACCAGATAATCGCCTCTGCCTTGTGGTTCCCGTTCTTATCTTGTACCAGCAATTTATTAAGATTGCCAGGAATCCAAGCACAAATCTTTCTGATGGGCGATAAGGGTAGTAAATAGTTTCCTAACAGAGAAAATCAAGCGTAGAAGATACTGTTTGGTTCTCTGGGGGCAGTATTTAAGGTGGAAGTGTCTTAGTGAAGGGGAGGTAGTAGCCCGTAGCTGCCACAGGCTGGTGGGGTAAGGAGACGGCAGGCAGCCGTTGCTGGCAGCCAGGAAATGGTTACGTACTAGGGTCCAGAAAGGGCAACGCGCCCTCAGTGGGCGGATGGAAACACCTCGGGTTTTCTCCTTCAGTGGCACCGTCTCTTGGGGCATTAATGTAGTACCAGCAGACACCACCTCAGTGCAGCATTTCCGTGCTGCTAGTACGGCGGGTGGTGGCACTATTATTTGTATGTTTGTTCGTTCATTTATTCAACAAATATTCATTAAGCCTCCAGATACTTTTCTAGGCACTGGGTTGTCATAGTGAAGAAGACAGAGTCTTTGCTGTCACGGAGGGGATTATGGGGAAGATAATTGTATGGTGTCGGTATTGATGGATTCTGTGAATGATGGAACAGCCCGGTGAACAGAGGACTAAGAGGGAAGAGTGGGTGGAAAATCTTGAGGTGGGAACAAATTGGTGTGTTAGAGGAAGAGCTAGAACTAGACAGTGTGTCCAGAGCAAAATGAGCCTGGAAGGACAGGACTGGGGCAAGTGCCAAGGGACCCGGCTCTTTGGTAAGTCCTTGTTAGCGCAGGGAGCAAAATCATGGCCTTGTGAGTCCTTCTGGGCAACCTCCTCTCCTTAGTAATGGCCCCAATTCTCCTGTGGCCTAAGTCCCTCCAGTAAGCTAGGCATTTAGGGAAGTATATAAATTCTTTCAGACTACCAGGGAACCACTTAGGGTCTGAAAGAATTTATGTACTTTCCAACTGCCCAGCTTAATAGCCGGGGCAGCCTTAGACACTGGAGCACAATGGAGGTTGTTTGGGAATAATCGGTGACTAAAAGTCGTAGCTACCATTGAGATTCTAAAGAAATGGTTGGAAAACATAAGGGTGATGCTTTCAAAGACCTTCTCAATTAATTATTATGTTTTTGTAGCATTATAATGGTTCTGTACCTTAAGGCATTGTCAAATGAATAAAACAGCAGGGAGCTCACTTTGCAGTATTGAATTCTTATAAAACTAGACTTTTAATTAAAAGTTGTAATGCTTTTAATTTATTAAGTGCCTTTTGTGCACCATGCATTCAAGCATTCAACATAACCTACTCTTACAACACTTGGAAAAGTAAGTGGTCTTAGTCCACCTTGTAGAAGTGGGGCTCGGTTCAGACAACCTGAAGGGTCAGTTAGGATTGCAGTCTGGGTCTGTTGGTTCAGAGCCGTAACTCTCTCCAGTGTATTTTAGCACGGAACTCCTAGTGTGTCCTGCAGAAAGCAGAAAGCAGACAAAGACATGATTTCACTTCTAACAAAAATTACTCAAGAGAACCAGCATCAGTTACGTTGCTTGTCACCGTGCAGGGTCCCTCATGTCTGTCCTGGGGCCATATTGACCCATATAGTGGCAGAGGAGAAAGGCGAGGGGGTGGGGTGCGGACACGTGCTCAGAGGTTGGAATGGAAGTGCTTGCTGGAGCGCCATCTCCAGGTGTCGTGCGGATCAGGTGGCGTTTCTGCAGAAGTAGGGAGGTCAGCCGGTGCTCGTGAGGATACTGATGTCTTACACAGGCGAGGTGATGCCGTGTTTTCTGGGGGCACCGGCTGGGCTGGTGGAGACTTGCCCGTGGATTGTTGAGCCGGTTTGCTGGGCAGGTCTCACAAATGTGGGAAGCGACTTTCTCTCTTTGAGAAGACGAAGGAGCCCATAACCTGTGCCCCGCTCAGGCTTCGGCTTCCTGGACGACTTTGACATTTTGACTTTAGTTTTCTCAGCTGTCGAATGTTGAGAGGTTGGACCTAATGGTCCCCAGTGCCAAAAAGTGTGCACGAGCGCGTGTGTATTTGCGATTCAACATATCTTTTATCTGACTCTGCTCCCCATAAGTTATTTATTTTTTTTAGCAAAGCAAAATAAAATTCATGAATGTACTTAAAAGAATTCATGTCAAGATAAATACATTACTTTGTAAGTTTTAGAAATCTTGCCTTCACCTAAGAAAATAGTGAAAATTAAACTTCTCTTAATAGGAAAGAAAGGTAATTTTTTAAGACCCTCTCCTCCAGAAGTTCTTATGTGCTAATAGAGTATATCAGGGAAGGGTCAAATCCATTAAAACTCTCCCAAGTGGAACAAGTGGCCTGAATTACTTGTTTGCTTAAGTCAAACAGGAAAGTTCTTCTTCCTTTGAACTGAAATAATTCCAGGAAATCAAATAAAGAAGCTGAGGGAGCAAGAAAGCACTGAGCAGGGACGGCTTTTCCAGCCCAGCCTGTCGCCTGCAGTCTCCACGGCCACGAGCCCCTGGCAGTGCCGATGGCAGCTTCCGTGCTTGATAATATTAGGGTGTTAAATTCGTTCACCTCTACACTCTGTTTTTTCTTCTCCAAACCGATTTTTGTTTTCCAGTTTTGTAAGTTAGAGGTCTTCAGTATTTGAACATAGCCCATTAAAGTAGGAATTTTTAAAAAAACAAATGAAATAACTTTTAAGGTCACACTTTTCATTTACCATCAATCCACACTACGTTAAATTCAAAAAGTTAAGTAACAATGAATGTTCTATTTATAATTTACTTTTTCTTCCCCTCCCAAATCTCTTTCCAGGAAATGACCCATTCATGGCCTCCTCCTTTGACAGCAATACATACGCCTAGCACAGCCGAGCCATCCAAATTTCCTTTCCCCACGAAGGTAATTCATTAAAAGTGTAGCAGGCACCGAATCCGCCGTAGTAAAAAGTCGGAGGGATTGCCGTGAGCCAGGTTGATAACGTATTACTTTTCAAATTTGAAATCTTTAGAGGTCAGGTTAGTGAGGGTCCTTACTTTAGAGATGGGAAAGCAGAGGTACAGAGAAATATCTGGTTCCCGGTTCAGAATTTAGGTCTTTACGTATACATACATACGTACATGTCTCACACTTCCTGGATTTCCTCAAAGTTTAATATGAAGAGCTGCCCTAAAGCAGGTTTAGTAACAAGCGAATGAACTGCTCACTTGTGTGTTTTCATTGTAGTATTTGCAAACAATGTATTAAAACACTGTGATTTCCCCTTTTTGGGGGGTTTGTACTTGTGGATACCCTTCAGAATGTAGAAGTAGCACCTTCACATCTGTACTCTGTTCAGCCTGGTATGAATGCACATTGCTTAATATATATATCAAAAAGTATTTGTACTTATTACTTTCTAAGGTACTGTTTTCACAAGAACATGTATCTATAGAAACCCAAATTTTCCATAAGTTAGATATTTTGCCTATTTTCTAATCATAGTCTTTTTAAAAAGGTGATTCATGATTACTGGTTTTAAAGCATTAAACCCTAAAAATATTTTTGCTCAACACCAAAGGAAAAATCAACTCCAGGAAAGAACAGAAGTAATAAAAGCTGTTTTATGTCAAAAAAAAAAAACTAGATTAATTAATGTTTGCAACCTATGCATCAAAAAAATGAGACTGAATATGGAGGAATGGAGAGCTGTAGGGGTCATGGGAAGGTTAGTTATAGGATCCGTGTGGCGGGTGCTGGGATATTCTCTGCACTATTTCCATTTTTCTATGTATTTGAAAGTCTCATAAGATGATCCTTTCAATATTAAAAGCTCTACTGTTTTGTCCTTAGATTTATAGATTATGTATTTTAATAACTAAATATTTTTTATTTTCTTTCTAGGATTCTCAGCACATCAGTTCTGCAACCCAAAACCAAAGTAAGTAAATATCTCTTTATTGCATTGGAAAACAAAGTGTCATTTTTTTTACTATGAAAAAATGAGAACTCAGAGGAAAACAGAAGAAAGCTAACTGGATCCAGTTTTTCCCCTCAACAATAACCCCTCAGATCAGTAAATTCTTTGTGTCCCAACAACGTGCAGGGCATGCTGAGCCTCACAAAAATGACTAGGATATTTGCAATCATTTATTTCATCAAAATATGGACGGAGGAATAAGACACGTGAGGCAGGATGTGATCGCCAGAGTTGTGCAGAGCCGGTCTTCAGAGGAGGGGGAGGTCACAAGCAGGGTGCGTGATGTGTGTGCGTGTTGGGAGGGGAGAGCTCGGAGATAGTCCATAGAGGTGATTTTTCCTGCAAATCTGCCCGCCATATTCTTTTCCCTCACGTATATATTTTTTTCTTGATTATGTTATTTAAATTGCAAGGCTGTGACATGAGGAAAAAATGGGAAAAGCAAGAAACAGAGTATTCTTCCTCTAGAATAGGAGTGGACAGACCACAGCCCGAGAATCAAGTCTGCCCTGCAGCTAGTTTTTGTAAACTTTTATTGAGGCATAGTGGTGCCTATTTGTTTATCTGGCCTTTATAAAAAATGCTTGCTATTCCCTGCTCTAGAGATACTGAATAATATCTTGCAAAGAACCATAACTAAATGTTCCTGAAACACAGAGAAATAAACCTGACTATATTGCCACAGTACTGTAGAAGCAGCAAGGTAGAATTAACTGACTGTTAGGGGAGATTGGGAATCTTTTTTCTCAATATCTTGGCAGCCAGTCCAAGGATAGGTGACTGGTGTAGGGGCACCGTCTGCAGGTGGAACTCCTGCCTGGCTGTGGGTAGGGTTGCTGTGCGCCCCTTTTCCTCTCGCGTCCCCCTCCTCCATCTGCCGGGGCTGCCAGTCGTGCAGATCGTACGCCTGCCACTGGGTTGCCGTGACTTGCATGACTGCTGCCTCATGATTGAAAACGAACCTTTAATCCATTCAGCTGTTTGAGTTCCCCCCTTTAGCAAGATGAGCTGGGAAGCACTGTCTGGGCCAGGGATGGGTCACCTTCTTGCCCTGGGAAGCAGTGTGGGCTGGTTCCTCATCACTGTCGCGAGCAGGTGCCGGGCCCTGGCGGGTCTCCTGTGGGTTGTGGCTCAGCAGCTACTTACCCCGGGGTCTTCTATGCTCCTGCCACTTTGTCTCGGTGTCCAGGGAACCTTGTTTATCTTTGTGAGGGTGTGGCCTTCGCACGTTCTCTTATTCCTCACCCCCAACTAGAGGGGTCTAGTTGGATGCTGGATAAAGAGAGGGGGTGGGGTATGGGTGGGTATAGTTTTCAGTGAAAAGTAGAGTACGACACACAGTTCTCAAAGTGTGCCCAGCAAGAGAGCTCTGATGTCTTCAACACTGACCTTGCAGAATTGGTGCGTAGGTTTTGGAGTCTGTGGAGAGGACAAGCGTAGGGACTTCACTTGGATGCCCCACTGGTTATGTCCACATTTGCAAAAGGGGGCTGTCGAAGGGTAACTGGAACCTGTGGAACTTAGAGCCAGTCACGATGGTCGTGGGGCAGTCCCTGTGAATGGTCAAAAGAGTGACTTTTGCCCCTCTAATTTGTAGTTTTGGTCTTAGCTTCCTAGGCAGAAGGGGAGGCAATTTGACAGTATCATATAACATCACTTCTCAGCCTTTTGGCTAAGATCAAATGAAAATATCGTATAAGAGCTGCTGCCACCATGAGGATACAGCGATTAATTGCAAATAAGCCAGGATCTCCACATGACGTTTGTGGGAAACACCACTCACCCCTGCCGGAAAGGTGCCCGTATTTCCTTTCCGCGTCCAGGTCTGTTTCAGGTTCCTGTTACTTCACGTCTAGACACACACAGCCGCCCCCCAACTGGTGTGTTGCCTCCGCACTAAAAATTTCCTGCCGCCTCTGGGTTATCCCAGGTAGCACCACCCGGTTACTCTCTGAGGTCCCACTGTGTCATGTCCCTGTTTAGGTCATCGATGGTGTCTCATTGCTCATCAGTGGCGTCATAACTTCCTGTCTCGGCATTCAGAGTCCTCTAAAATCTGCCTTCCGTCTGTCTTGCGGGGCTGTGCACCCAGCTTTCCGCTCTCCAAACCTGGGGCCACTGCGCCTTTACTCACACCTTCCCTTCTGCCTGAAGGCCTTCCCCTCCTCCCCCACCTTCCTCTCCTCCCCCACCTCCCCCTCTTTCCTGCCAGCAGCCATTCTGCCAGAATCTCTCCAATCCTTTGTTCTTTCTCTAATTTGCCTCTTTGGTCATTACCAACAGAATGACCATCCTCTGGATGCCCAGGACAGTTAATTTATGCGATTGATTTGTGCACTTAATCTCACATCGCCTAGGATTGCAGATGTTTGTGGGCCAGTTTCGTGTCCACTGGCCAACCGTAAACTCACGGAGGACGGGACCAAATGCCTTAAACATATTGGCGTCTGCGGGCAGCCTGCAGACAGCTGTGGAGTGGATGAGTTGGGGGGTGGGGGAGGGCCTCAGCCAGGAAGAGAGGCCGCGACAAGGGAGTGATAGCAAATCAGTGATCGCACCAAAGTGGAGGGGTGAGAGTAGCCCCGTCATTGTGCTTCCTTAAGTCTCCTCAGCCGTCCTCAAAGAAAAGTCTCCCAGCAACTAGGAAAGTTACCGGCAATGACGTAGCGCTGCCACAAGCAGTGCTTTCCACAGTGGGTTTCGGTCTGTTAAGAGTTTCTGGACTCTGAGCAAGCGTTCCCTCTAGAAGGGACATGCATGTTATAATGGTGAGATGATGCCAAGTGCAGTGTATTTAGCACTCTGGTTGACAGAATTTACGCTAAGTGGAGGGAGGGGCAAAAAAAGAACTTATAACTAAAGATCTTAAAAATACGTCACTGAGCTGCTCTGATAATGTTTCCCTTCCCCACAGAACAATATGATACAGCTTCCAAAACCCACCCCAATTCTCAGCAAGGAACATCGTAAGTACACTGGTTTTATTTATTTAAAGTTTATAGTTTGACATTGTAATTTCCCGTGTAAATTCATTGCTTTGATTTTTTTTTCCTGCTTTCAAGTAATAATAATCATAAAATACTGTTGCATTGTAAAGGGAAGAAATGACCCACATCAATGTTTGTATTCTGTTCTCCTGTCAAAGGTTTATACACTGTAGGAGAGTTTGCTAAGACGTTTTAGGAAACGAAAGATTTTTGAGCCATTATTTACGTATTAACTGTGGAAAATAAAAAGGTTTGGCTTTTAAAATTTGTCTTAAATAGCTTTAGCTTTTGGAAACAAGTTTTGGGGGATGTGCACAATTTAAGATTTTCTGCCATTTTTTGGCCTTATTTTACTAATAAGGAGCTATTCCTTGTTAAGGCCAAGTAAGTCCAGATATGTTTTGGGTTTCTGGAATGTTTTGAACTGCATGTGGAAGATTTTTATTTTTTTATTTTTTTTATTTTTATTTTTTGAGACAGAGTCTCACTGTGCTGTCCGGGCTAGAGGGCCGTGGCGTCATCCTAGCTCACAGCAACCTCACACTCCTGGGCTCAAGCGATCCTCCTGCCTCAGCCTCCCGAGCAGCTGGGACTACAGGCATGCGCCACCATGCCCAGCTAATTTTTTCTATGTATTTTTAGTTGTCTGATTAATTTCTTTCTATTTTTAGTAGAGACGGGGTCTCACTCTTGCTCAGGCTGGTCTCGAACTCCTGAGCTCAAACAATCCGCCCACCTCGGCCTCCCAGAGAGCTAGGATTACGGGCGCGAGCCACCGCGCCCGGCCAGAAGATTTTTAAATCAGCATTTTAACTCACTTTGTCATTTCTTGATAATATCGAACTATTATTTGACTTTGTCCAGCTAGAGGTGGTTATCAGGGACTAAGTGAGGCCTTTCTCTTCCTCAGTGTCTGATCAGTCGCGGACACTCCGAGTTGCTGGTCTCGGGGTTTCAGGTGGTTCCGGAGCTCAGGCTGCAGCCTTCCTCTATTTTTAGACAGCGTTTGTTCCGTGTACGTTGGAAGGCAGGGATTGCTGTGGATTATTTTAAAAACTGTGTAGCTGAGCTGAAGAGGTTATTTTCTCTGCTCGCCGTGACTGAACGTGGGGCCGGGTTATATCACCATTTCCCAAGTGCCAGACCCTGGATGCCATTTGCTTTCATTTCGCCATAGCAAAACGAGGGGAAAAGAACAATATCATGGGTTTTTTTTTTTTTAAAGATAAGTTTATTATAGTTTGAAGGATGGGGTTTTTTTGCATGCGGTAAGAATGTATTTTATATGTGGTCCTGGTACATGGGGAGTTTTGGTGGTTTTTAATGTCCTTTGCTAGGAAAAAGATAACCCGTGTTGATTATCCCTCCTGTTTTCTTTTTTTACGTTTTTCTTGTTGGGAATTTTACTGGCCCCTAAATTCTGGGGATCTGGAATCACTGGCTTAGATTGCATTTAAGGAAGGATGAGGTTTGTTAAACCAGTTGGTGGCCAGTAGGGAAGAGAGGCCACAGATCAAGGACCCAGGACCGTAAGAATCTGTGGCAGCTTGGAAGGTCCTACGCCGGGTCCTGCTTTGTCATGCACGGTTGGTAGCCAGGCCCTGTTGACCGTAAAAGGCCCTGGCCATTGTCTTTAGGGCAGCCAGGAAGGGGGAACTGAAGCTGGGAGATCGGGCATCTCTTGGCTGTGACAGCAGAGGGAGGAGCTCTCCACAGAGCAGGGCGGGTGGAGCAGCTGCGCCAGAGGACAGTGGCAGCTGTGTCCCTGGCCTGTGGCTAAAGGAAGGCAGGCAGTTGGGTCCGACCTGCAACCAAGCAGCAGCCTCAGACCAAGCAGGCAAAAGTCCCTCCCCTCCTGCTCCAGTGCCCGTCAGCTCTCAGCCTGTTAGGGACGTAGACCGTTCCTCTTATGGCTCTGCTCGTCAGTGACAATAGCGACTTAAGCCGCTGAAATCAGAGATGCCTCAAAGTTGCTAACAAGTACACTTATATCGTGTGACACGTAGTGTTTTCTTTATGAAGACTATTAATTTGCTACGTGTAAAATTATCCGGGAAGGAATATTTGCAGTGATTTCAGTAGATTGTTTTGGGAAGGGGCGCACGCAGGCCCTTCGGAGGCAAGGTGGGGAGGGCAGGGCAGCACAGGACAGGGTGACGTTGAGGCTGGGCAGACAGCGAGGCTTGGCCGGACTCAGTGGCGTGTGGGGGTGGGGTCGGTGCTATTGGTAAGGGCCAGAATGAAATGTACCTCTGGGAAAAAGGAGCCACTTTTATGAACTTACTTTTAATGGAGATTGGATGAAAGTGGCGTCCGGGATAATCTGTAGAGTGCCGTCATCGTTCAGATGCAGCGTGGCAGATCGCTCAGTGCGCGCGAGTTAGTCGGGTCTCGCGGCAGCGTCCCGGTGCTTTGATGCGCAGTTGAGCTATGCGAGTGGCACAGTGCTGGGGAGATGGTCCGACGTACTCTGAATGTCAGAAAATTGTTACAGGGTCATTTATACTTTGGCTTAAAAAAATCAATCTAGGTCTTAATGCTTTTTCTTTCAGAGTTACTAGTACCTGGGAATCCCTGGAAAAGTGGAGTAGGTCATACGAAAGGGGCGTAGCAGCAAACAATAAGCCTGTCAGTGGTCTGTGAGCTCTCACGTGTCTAGACTGGGATGAGGGGCAGCACGGTGGTAGAGGGCTTGCGTGTGAAAGGAACGGATGCTAAATCCATTACTTTTAATGTAGTTCTCTGTGGTTTGTGCTCTAGTTACTTCTCAAATAATGAATTCCTTCTGCAAGGCTCTGCAGGTAACTGATTAGCTAGCGTGTTAGTGCAGTTTGCTCCCAGCTTTAGGAGAGGTTGTGTGTGTTTAAGGGCTCTTGGCGTTGGAATCCTCTTCCCTTTCCAAGGCTTGGATCCGTGGAGTTCTCAGGGCAAAGTACAAAGTATTTCCTTTTCTCTAGTTACTGTGTCCTTTACTGCGTGTCAGCCTCTCAGAAGGGATAATGTGTTCATGCACCAGAAACTATGAAACAGTTTCTATTATTATTGTAGCTAGCTAACTTTTCTCTCCCCCATCCCCAAATCGCTGGGTTTTTACAAGAAGGTGCCCTCCTTTTTCTTGTTGTCATCTCTGAAATCAACACGTACCTCATCAGCACATACTTAGAATGAGAGAAATCAGCCATTGGTAGCAATTTGACATTTTCATCACTTATGTGGAAAGTTTCTTTTGAAATGAGGGAGGTCTGTGATGGGGACTGTCCCTAGAGTTGGACAAGAAGGAATAGTGCAAAGTTAATGCAGGCCGGGTGAGTCTGACACCTGTTCACATGAACCTGAGTTTTCAACTTTTGGTGAACACATTAGTGGTTTTTAAATATCTTGGTAAAGAACTAAGGAAGACCTGTCAGTTTATTGTAATATAAAATCATCACATGAGCACAAAAGTTGTGTCGCCTGAAGTGCCATAGAATTAAGTCCGAAGACAGTTTACTTCTGCCAGTTAATTTAAATCATATTTAGCCTAAGGAAATTAATTTTTTCTCTTGTTTTTAAATGTTAGCTTATACTATTTGAAGGTGTTTCACCTGGACCCTTTATTTCAATGGCAGCTCTGACTTAAAGTGCTATTCGCTGATAAATATTGTGGAAGAAGTAGTAGAAATTAGCCCCGTGTGTAAAGCTTATAAATTATTTGTCACTGAAGTCATATTCCCGTCCTTTAGTCACAGTTCTTCACTTCTTCAGAAAACAAGGGACAGACATTTATGCTGGTCATTTGTACATCTGTAGGTCTCCATTAAACCTTTCAGCATCATGGAACATTTTTGATAATAATTCTCAATATGTCAGTACCTGGCGTTGCTGGAAAAGTATATACTTTATTTTCACTCTCGACTTAGTCAACCAAGTTAATGAGAATCTAGGGTTATAGCTGTGTGTAATTATTTTAGTCACCTAGACCTCTTATGTGTTTTCAGGAGGAGAGGTAGGCATGTAAAATGAAGGAAAATAAGGAGCATTGAGGGAATTTTTAAAATACTGTTAAAGTACTGGAGAATTTCCCTCTCCAACGTATTCTCCTTAGAGCTACACTTAATTGAATAATGCAGCCATTGCTTGAAATGGGAGCTCCCATTTAGAACAATATATACTGTCATATTAGATCTTAAACCAGAAGTCAAATAAAAGGGACAAAAAGAATAAATTCTTTAAACGCCTGTTATGGAATAAATGTTAAGTAAATGCGTCTGCAAAAGAAAAATTGTTCTCATCGTCTTCAACACAATTTTGAGCCAAATTACGTAAACATTTTCTGGGCTCGGCTGCAGGGCACTTGGAGATATTTCCAGTAATTGCCTCCGTCCATTCGGTGCATAATTATCGGACACATGCTGTGTGCCTGGTGCTGCTTCAGGTGCTCGGAGAAACGGTGGTCATTAAGACAAAGCCCTCGTCTTCCACATTTTGTAGCAAAATGCAGGTGGCATATAACATGGAACAAGGTGATGTCATGGTACCAGGGTTGGGGCAGGAGTTTTGTTTTTTTTTTTGGGTGGTGGTGATACTTCAGGGTGGGAGATCAGGAAAGGTGTCTCAGAGTTGGTGACATTGGATGATGAGAGGAAGGCACAGACCGCTTGCTACCTTGAAGGGGGCTTGGTAGATACACCACAGACTCTGAAACCTCAGCGGATAATTTTTTGGAAGTGACTACTTTGAAGGAGGTCATTTCTATATGCAAAACCTGGCTTTAACGGTGCCCTCAAGGGTCCGTCTGAGTGTCATTTGTAATCATAACTGCTGGTTCACTGTAAGTGACCCTAGACTCATTTAAAACATAGATTGTGAAGATTAAATAAAATGTTTCAATTCGCTAAGAATCTGTTGGCAGTTTATACCTTTCATCCTCTCTCTGGGATGCTGGGCTGTTAAAACCAACAAGGTGCGGTCAACTTTCACAAGAATACTCACCTCCCTTC